CTGTCAGATACTCTGTAATCAATCTAACACTTTCTGTTATATGACAGTGTCTCAGAACAGAATATCAAGATATTACATAATATTATCAGATGTTTACAATACTGGTTCACATGCTTTCATTCATGAATGAAACTTCTGTTTCACATGATTCTTCAATTATTCATTGATATATCAATCTTGATTGATTAATGAACTGATGACATCTTCAACTACACTCAGTTTTGTAAGCATTTCCATCCTTCATGATAAGTAGAGAGTGAGATCAGAAGTATTGAAATATGCAGAAGTATCTAAGTGTTCCTTCAGTGCTTTTATATTCAATTCTATCAGTATTGAAATTATCTATACAGGGGTTTATTATTATTATAATTATTCTTCAATTATAGATGTATGCAGTCAGAGACTATGACATCTACCTGAGAACTAAAAGTTCTCAGGGTTTTTTCTATATCTATAAAGTTAACTACTATACATGTATCAATTTCAGATATGCAAAATAAGAAAATTCCAGCTCAGAATATAAAAACTATTTACAAATTGCAGTATTTTAACATCTTCTGATACTTTGAAACCTTTTGACAATATCATGACAAAAGAAAAGAGAACACAGTCTTAAAGATAGATATATTAAATAGATAGATAAAAAAGAATAGAAAGAAAAAAGTAAAGTAAAATAAAGAGAGACTGTAATAAAACAAATTATTAAAAAATAGTATATAGCTGTTTTAACAGACTATATTCAATCAATTTCCTCCTCTTCATATTCAGATATTTCTGAATTCAGTCATTTTCTTGTAGCTGCTTGAGTTTCTGATAGAAAGTCTATTAAGTATTTAATTCCTGTCTCAGTTGAGAATAAGAATCTCATATTTAATTGATTTAGATTATACTTCTCTTTCAATCTGACTCTGAGACTATTGTATAATGCACAGTGTATTATAATATACTCAGAATTCTCATTTGCATTGCAGAATGAGCATTCTATTGAATCAAATCTATCATCAAATCTTTATATAAAGGATTTGAAATAGTCATGTTCTAGTTTCAGCTGTATTATAGATGAGAATATTTTCTTTTTATATTTAATTAAACAAGATTTTCATTTGGGTTTTATTTCAAATCTTGAATAATGTATACTGTTCTTTTATTTCTATCAGGTTTCATTTCACTTATCTAAACAAGATTCATTTATTTTTCTCTTTATAAAAGATCAGAACACAATTTTTTCAATAGATCTGCTTAATTCTGAACTCTTTTTTACAGCTGAATCAGCCAATTCATTACTATGAATCTTCATATAAGCAGGAACTCAGTGTAGATGAATTATCAGCTTTGATATTCTTCTCTTTTGAATTTTTAAAATGAAGTTTAAGATCAGTTCAAGATTCATTTAATCACTATAAATCTGACTATTTCTAAGTCTTTTTAAAGCTGCTTAACTATTAGAGAATATTCATATCTCTTTTAAACTATTTTCTCTTTTATGATATTTTATTTCAATAAGTTTAAAAGCTTTCACTATTATAAATAGTTCAGTGTCAAAGACTTCAGTTTCACAGTCTAAATTTCAGAAATCTGAGATAAAATTAATGTTTTCTTCAGTATAAGCAATGTCTGTATCTAATCTATTCAAATTCTCATCTTTTGAGTCATATGAATAAATCAGAATAGAGTTTTTTATATTGATTATAGAAATTCTCTTCAAATACTGTTCATATTCTTTCTCTTTAGATAGTTCACTTATTTATAAGTCTATAAGAGATTCAAGCTTTTCTCTTCAGAGAGATAACTTCTCATGATTCACTTTTTCAATATTTAAAGAAGAAAATTGATTTTTAATCAGTGTGTATAGTTTATACAGTTGAGAAGACATTTCTTTAAAGAATTATTTTCATTTTAATCAAGAAATCTATTTCAATTCAGTTCATTTTCAGAGTTAATTGATGAAAATGAAGAAGATACTCTTTCTCTGATTATATAATTTAAGCTTATCTTTATAACTCTCAGAGCATAGTTTATACAGATCTTTTTAAATCTAATAGTAGAAAAGAGAATTGAAGCTTCAATTTTCATTGCTTTAATAGAAGATAATTTGAATGCTCTCAGAATTCTTCTCAAAGCTCTGTTTTGCAGACTTTGAAAGAGTTCAGTGAAATTTTCTTGATTATTCTATCAAACTTGAACTTTATAATCAGCTGCTGAGATAATACAGACTATATATAACTATCTCATAGCTTAGAAGAATAGATCTCTCTCTGTATTTAATAGTCTGATAATATTATTCAATAGTCTTTCTATCTTGACAGTTCTTTGTTGAATATAATATTTAAAATTCAACTTAGAGTTTAATCATACTTCTAATTATTTAACATTTAAACTGACTTTAATCTCTCTATTTAAAAGAGATAGAGATAGTTCTTTCTCATTGAATCTAGAAAGAAAATGAATTAACTCAGTTTTATTAATATTAAATTAAATTTGATTAATATCTGCTCTGATAAAGATTTTCTTTACAGCTTTTTCAATCACTTTTAAATTCTCTTTAATACTTTTTAAGCTGTAGCCTAGATCAATATCATCTATATAACTCAGAGATTACACTATTTTCATATTTCTATCTTTGAATAGATATGCAGTGTATATTGCAAATAAAATAAGTGAGATTGAAGATTTTTACAGCACTTCTATTTTTATCTCAGTCTTGTCTTATTTTATTCTCTCAAAGAAAAGTTGTATGGTTCTTTTAGATATAAAATAGTTAATTCATTTTATTAGAGAAAGTGACAGTTTTAATATCTTCAAAGTCTGAATTAACTTTAACTTTGAAACATAATCAAATACTTCTTTTATATCAATAAAAACTGCAGTTGAGATCAGATCTTCATACTTTGTTATTTGAATATGATAAATAACTGAGAGAACAGTGTCAATTTCAGAACATTGTTTTCTATCTTTTATTTATTCACTGAATAGAAGAGAGTTATTAATAGAGCTTATAAAAGATAGTTGAGTAGCTATTATCTTTTTCAAAATCTTTTCTAGATAGTTTAATAGAGATATTACTCTATATATCTTAGAAATTGATATCTTTCTATTAGACTTTATAAGAATCACTTCAGTGACTTCTCTTCAGCATTCAGAATTATATTCATTTTTTAAGAGATTGAAAAAGAGCTCAAAATATTCATTCTTTAAGTAGGAATATGTATTTTGAATAATCAAGTGATTAATTGAATCAGGCCCTGCAGCAGTTTTAACAGAACTTGAGAAGATAGCTGACTCTAATTCATCTTATATAAGATCAGGCCATTCTCAGTCATTTTCATTAATATAGTTGAGAAGTAATATATTCTCTTTCTCTGAATCTGAATCTGATGAGTTTTGAAAGAGAATTCATATAAAAGCTTGACATTTTTTCTTAAAAGAGTTTGCTGTATATGATTCATTCTGAAACTCATATTCTAAGGCTGGAAGCTTTACTATACTTCTTATTTTAGTATAGTTAAAAGCTTTAAAAACTTTCTTTTTCTATGCTTCTTTAAGAAATTTATTTCAGCAGTCTGTTTTAGCTCTTCTAATATCTGAAAAATATTCATTTCTGACAGCTTTGAACTCTTTATCAGATATTATATCATTCTTTCAATCTCTTCTAGTAGTAGCTAATTCTTTTCTTTTAGATGAGATATTCTCATTTTATTAAGATTTTGAATACTCAGAAGATTTTCTCTTTGAAATATTATCTCTAATACTTATTAGAATAATAGATGTAATGAGCTTCACTCTATTCTTAAGTATTTCATTTGAGATATCTTGATCAGAATTTTAATATAGCTCACTCTGTCTTTCAGATTTTAACTGTTTTATACTTTCTTTAACTGCTTTTCAATCAGCTTTTTCAAAGTGAAACTGAGTAGAGAGAAGTAAGTTTTCACTCATTTATTTCTCACTCAGTTCAATATTAAATTGAATAATCTTATGATCTGATTCTGATGTCTCATTTGAATTAATAAATCAGATTATAAGTCTTTTTTTCATTAGATTTTATGATATGAAGATTAGATCTATAATAGATTTTTATTTTATATCTTTTCTAAAGAATCTTTGTTGATCAGACTTATTAACTAAATCTATTAAATACTCAAAGATTTATTCAATCAGATTATCAGCTCTTACTGCTCTCTTGTATTCTGAATTTCATCAGAGATAATGTGCATTGAAATCTTCTACAATTATATAGTTTCTTAATGAAGTTATGTTCAGAAATTCTCTATCAATTATTCAGATATTGTTATTTTTCTTTAATAACTTTTCATTATAGATATTTATAAGCTGTATAGTATTAAACTTATTCTCTTTATCTATAATATCACTTATCAGAATATCAGAGTCAGACATGATATTAAATCTTAGATTAAATTAATATCTTAATCTCTTTCTTTCATAGATCACTACTCTTGACTTTATCTCAGACTTTTGAGATAGAAAGCAGTAGTAGCTTGAATGAGAAATAATATATTTTTACTCAGTATCAAAATTCAGTTCCTGAAGCAGTATAAGATCAACTTTTTATTCAAATATAATTTGAGTTTCTATTCACATTATTTTGAATAAATGTAATTTTTGAAGAGTTTTTAAACTTTTTTTATTGTTTTTATTGTATATTCATACTAAAAGAGAGTAGAGATAGAGTAAAATCTATTCACTATTATCAGATAGTAGATTATAACTATTTTGAAAAGTAGCAATCTTAACTGCTTGTATTATATCTAGCTTATCATCAGAGTCATTTCTCAATTCTCTAATTTTAATAGAAGTTTAAGAATTCAAATTCTATTTACATTTAGCTGGAGAATTGAAGATTGAAGATTTAGATAGTTAAGAGTTTCTTCTTTTTAAGCTTATAGTTATAAGTTTACTGACTTGACTCTTCTCTTAAGTTCTAGATTGACTTTGAGCTTTATCTTTTCTTCAGTTCTTTTAAGTTCTTGAAGTAAATATACATTCTTTTGAGCTAGATACATATTTTTCTTTGCAATTAGAGCACTTAAGCATAGTATATTGACATATTTCATCTCTTTTTAAGCATGTTTCATATTTATGCTCACTAGTTTTGTAATCTCTGATACAGAATGCACATTTTGAGTCTCTAAAACATGAGATTGTAAAGTGTTCATATCTTTGACAGTTTGAACACTGTGTTTGAGCTTTGAGATTCATTCTTGAGTCTTTGTATTCATGAACTCTTATTTTCAAATCTGCTACTCTTACTTCAGAGATCTTTCACTGTTTAAGTATCTTTATATGTACTAGAACAGAGACATTTCTTCTACTTTGTCTGAACTCAATTGAATTTAGTTATACAGGCTCTTTTCTCAGTTGAATAGAGTTGTATTCTTCTAACTTATTTTTGAGGAGTAGTATTTCTTCTTCACAGTCAAAAATTTCAACTGAAATATCATAAAGAATGAATTTATGTCACTTTTTATCTCTCTTAGATAGAATTATTGTGTTTAGCAAAGATTCTACTACTGATTTTCAGAGATTCTCATTCTGAATAAGGAATTCTGCACTGAATTCAGACATTGTAGTCAGAATGATGAAGTTTTCAAAGAATGATGACTCAATTGAAGCTATAACTGATTTTTAAACTTTAATATCAGTCATTAACTGAGAAAAGAACTGCTGATTAATTTCATTTCTGATTCTGAAAATGAGATTTAAGATTAGCTTGTTTCTTTGTAAGATATTCTGATTTAAGACTTTGAGAATAAGTTTTCTATTTCTGAAGATTTGAAAGTTTTTCTCTTTTTATATTTTTTTCTTCACTTTTCTATGAATAGAAGTATGAGCAGTATTCTTCTCAGTTTTCTCAGAATTTTAAGTGGATTTTGAGATAGCAGATTTAGAGACAGCAGATTCAGCTGCTTGAGCATATATTTTCTTTTAATTTAAAGAAGAAGAAGAAGTAGAAAAAGAAGAAGAGTAAAATAATGAGTCAGTGATTATACTAGAAATTTTCAATGTTTTTTGAACTGTGTTTGAAATTCCAAGTTTGAACTTGATTATCTTCTGTAGTTGTCTAGTCTGAGTATGAAGAATTAACAGAACTTCTTTATTTATCTCACTCAGATACTGCTTTTCAAGAATCTTGCTTACTTTTTCATGTTTCTGTATTTCAAGAACTTGTTATGTCTCTATTTCTTCTTTCTTTCTTCTTCTCAGAATTTCAATCTTAGAAATAGCATTTGAG